ATGGAATTTTTGAACGCATTATGTACATTATGTTAATGTGTAGCGTTTTTCAAAATCATTAGAATTTACGAAACGGTGTACCGTTATTAGATCCAATGTCAAGAAAACGAAATCCATTACTCATAGCTTTGATCGTTGCCGCTATCTATTAAATGATTACAGTTTTTTTTCCTTACGGAGCCGATATTCCAATCGAGATATTTTATGTCTCAGTTATTTTATCTCTGCTTAAATATTTTTATTTTTATCTTTTATTGCTTCTGTACGTTTCTTTTTCGTTTACCTTAAATTCTTTATTGAAGCTTTTTTAAAAAGAAAAATGACACCATATTTTTGAGGAGAACACGGTAATCCGTTTCATTAATTCACGGTAATATTTTATTTGTCTATTAAATCTCCTGAATCAAATTTCAACACACCAGAGGAAAAAGAGAAAGAGAGAAAGGAAGAGAATACAAATGGAAACACTTTGTTTTAATTATTTTCTTTTCTTATTAAAAATACAAAATCATGCGTTTCGATCATTTATGGAGAAACTATTTGTGTTTAATAAAGTGCTTAGCATATTTTATTGTCATTCCCCAGCGTTTTAAGTGTCTAATTGAAATTACAAAGCTGTCTTATCTTCTAATAAAATATCTTTTACGTATGTTTATTAAAAAGTCAGTGAAGTTCTCAAATTACTTTTCTGTACAAATCAGCGAAAAGGGAGCTTTTCGATAATAAAGTAAAGTAATAATTTTAAAAGAACCTTCAAACATAAACTCGGTCTTTCATCTGAATTTTGTATTTGTTTGATAAGAATATTTCTAAAGGAATGTCTGGAAAAAACATGTTTTCCTGCAACACAAAGAGAAAAAAGGCATGAAACTGCCTAGCAACCAGACATTGATCTCGTAAAATAATGGCCTGGGATGAATACATTTTTTGTTTATCTTTGTGAATATTATAGATATCATTTCACTGTGTATATTCTTTTTATTTTCGTCTGTAAGCTATAAATCTGTTTTCAATATATTTAGTGAAAGGATGAATAGTGTTTCTCTATCCCGGATTTCATTAAGTTTTGAATCTGGGTTGGCATGTGAACCTAATATCTTTCCTATTCCTAATCTGTCTTTCTCTCTCTTTTCTGTTCTTCTCTCTGTCTCTGTCTTTATATATATATATATATATATATATATATATATATATATATATATATATATATATAGATAGATAGATAGATAGATAGAGTGTTAGGAAACATTTATGCGCAGCGATTGAACCTCAGGGAAGGATTTTTTTCTTTTTTCTTTTAATCATTTCGCTAAAACCTAGACAGTAATGTCACTATGTTACTGAGTGTGGAAGAATATAAAAAAAGAGAAAGATTATTAAGGAGATGAACAATAAATGAGGTGTAATCAAGAAGAGAATCGATAACGATTGCCATTTCATTTAAGTTTTTGTAGATAAAATTTATCTGGAAAGCGTGAAGCCGGAACGGATTTCCACAACCGATAAATACAAGAAAGGAAACTGTTAGAAAGGAACTTACGGTTTCATCTAGCCAATTCAATTTATTTTTGAGACCTTGTTGCCAAACTAGTACTGTGCTTATGTTCATATAGTCTAGGAACAATCCGAATAAGTACCATGAAAATATTTATAGAAAAAGTAACCAAGAAGCGACGTTATGGTGGTAGAAAAATGAATGCTGCCGGACGCCAGGCCAGGAACAATAATATTACTGATTCTTCTTTGGATTTTATCAAAAATATCTAAATATATCGAAGGACGACCGGACCATATGTGACAGCACGATTCAAAGCATGGACGGATGGTTCGCAGATTCTGGCCAGAAAATCTTTTAGCTTCACACAGTGAACCAACTTTCTTAGAAGACCAAGCATTTGTAAACTTTCCGCTTCTTATCAACAGAGGATGTTAACCAATGCAGATGGGGAACAGAAAGGAATCTCTCAGATGGTTAATAGAAAGCAGTTTCGTTTTGGAGGAGTTAAAATTAACGAGCCATACTTTGCCCCAGTTACCGGCGGATTGTCTGTGATTTTTTAGATCAGCTACCAATTTGACTGTATCAAACCGATCAGACTTATTATTGAGAGCAGAGTAAACAGTTGTCTCATCTACATAGATACATTGAATCACTAGCTTCATCTACCGCAAAGAAAATTGTCTATCTGTGTCGCTCCAGTAGTTTTTCTAGCCTGAGCCATCCTTCAAATCTATAAATAAACCATTCGCCCTTGCATGGAATACTACTGCTATATATGGTCTGGGGTCTCCGCTGTTCGTCTCGAGGTCCTCGACAAAATCAAGAGACGGATATAAAATGTGATGGATTCTGATCTGGCATATTGTCTACAGTCAATTTCTCACAGACGTGCCGTGGCTTCCCTCTATCTTTTCTACAAGTATTTTCACTCCAACTGCTCCGATGAGCTACTTTAGATGGTTCCCAAACTGCATGAATTTGTGCTACGAGGTTGTCATCTCGGTCCCACTGTCGAAACGGTTAAATATAGCCGTCTCTTCTACCCCAGCAGATTCTTATCTCGCACTTCCCGTCTGTGGAACTCCCTTATTTTTACTTACTTCCCTGATAGCTATAATCTTCAAATATTGAAATGCAACGTCAATCGACATCTTCTGATGCCTTGATTTTGTTCTCCATCCTTTTCTTTATCCTTTCTTTAAACACGCCTATTTACTCTTCCTCTCACTATCTGTAGCCTCTTACATGCTGGTGGCACTCCCGCCTTGCTTGAGGTGAAATGATAAAAAAGATACCAGATTGAGAACTGATGTTATCAGGGAGGTTAGTGATTAAAATTAAGATCAAAGTAGGTCCAAGGATAGAACACGGTGTGTGTTTAGGTGTCACCAGCATCAGTGCAAAAATATCAAGAAGAATGGCCGTTCAGGACAATGCAATTTCATAAGAAAGACGAAATCAGTTAAAAATTCGTTCAGAATTACCATAATCTTTCAACTTGTGAAGACGACCGGCATGCCAAATCCAGTCGAACGCTTTCGCGATGTCCAAAGCCACATCCCTGGCTTCACCATTCTAATCTAATGATTGATAGACTCTTTCAGCAATAATGTTTAATACAATGGCAGTTGACTTCGTTTCAGAAAAACAAAACAAAACAAAAAAAAACTATATAGCATTCCCTATATTGTTTTTTTTTTTTCTAAAAGAAGACCCTGCGATGTGAAATGCTTAACTAAACAAGAGATCATTAGGGCCTCTTGTAGTTAGACCCAAAGAGTAATGTAAAATATTTTATCGTAAAAACGGGTTAACTTTTAATTCTTTTAAGGAAATGGTTTACCTCATTTTTAGATATGAAAAATCTCGTTGCGGCAGAAATACATCCGACCTATACCCTCCGAAATACTTGTCGCATAATGGGATGGCATTAATGACAATGGTGTCTTCATCTAACTAATGTCTTACTAAAAATATCTCCCGAAAATGCCTCCCACATAATATGTGGGAGGCATTTTCGGGAGATATTTTTGCCGCAACCTATAGTAACATTTACCGTTTGTAAGCGTTCGGTAAGAGGTTATAATTTCTCTATTATTAATATCCGGATATATTACTTCGCTTTGCTAAAAAAATTTACAAGCCATTTTTTTTGTTAAAAAATTTATATTTTGCATCTTATTGGATTTTCAAGCGAAAATCATTTGAAAATAAATCGAAACGATTTTCTTTCTCTTTTATGCTAATTGCTGTGTATTATTTGGTTACATTTATATTGTAAACATAAACATCGATAGCATCTTGAGAGGTGTTTCTGAAAATGACATTTTTTTCACTTTGATATTAACAGTCATGTGGAAATAAAGGATTTTCCAATAACTTGGACCGATTTTAATGTGAATTAAGTTTAAGCGTCTAATGATTTTTTTCTTTTTCTTTCAGATTTGACAGATATTTGGACGATATTACTTTTTACACATAACTGCCATGACTTAAATAACATAATCCAATAGAGAAATAAATAAATGTTCACCAATAACACTGATTTATTTACTGTTGACTTTGATCCGTCTTAATGAAACACCATTATATATAATCCGTTTTAATGAAATACCCTTTATATTTCAGAAGTATATACATAGTGTCCCCCGAAAAATATACGCACATTTTGAAATCCCATAAGGCCTGATATTATTTTTTGCCTTTTTTCAGATCCATGCATTTAATTTAATATTAAATTTATTGATTGATTGGTTCGTTTTCTCCACATTGCGTGTTATTTAAAGCCAGTAAATACTTTTAGATTGGTTTGGTCTGTTTTACGGCATATCAGACTCAATGGGTCATTTAATGCCGCAAACTTTTTATTGCTGGTAATGTTTTTCTTAAAAAAATCTGAGGATATTTTTCCTTGAAGAAATCTATAGCTGGTAATATATTTTTCAAAAAATGTATAGCTGTTTGTATTGCTGGTATTTCTTAAAAATATTGCTGATAATAATTTTTCCTTCAAAAATTATTGCTGGTAATAATTCTTTTAATTATTACAAAGTATTTCTGCTATTAAAACCTATTTTTATACAAGTTTGGGTGATAACTGTTTGCCCATAGCTGGGACCCTAACAGGTGCTACAATCCCAGGTCAGGGTCGACCTGGGAACACCAGCAATTAAGAGGTGGTTCCACGCTCCTCAAAATTTCCTGATCAGAGGCCTTGCTGTTGGACGTAGTTTATCGTCTTACCCAGGACGCGGATGTAGCTCATCGTCTTACCCAGGACGGTAGATTGTAAGAATTTTCCTATTTGAGATAATAATCATTTTGTGACGCAAGTCCTGCTAATTGACTCACAGCTGGTGGGAAAAGAGGTGAACTCATTCCTTGCCCAAAAGTATTTGTACGTAAGTGAATATAGCGAAAACACCTAGAATTGGAACTCGTCTCTCCGATTATCAGTTCTGAACCATTATCCTTTACACCACATCCAAGTTTACCGGGCTTGGTATTCCCAACCGGTAACCCATCAAGGTACTGACCAGGCTCGACGTTGCTTAGTTTCGGTGATCCTACGGGAATGGGTGTTTCAACGTGATATACACGTAAGACAAATATTTAATTTAAATCGTTAATCTTCTTTGCAATAGACAATAATATTTGTTAATTTTAATATTTTAATTTTAATATTTTGTTTGCAAGTCAATAAATACTGCAATTATTTTCATTTAAAGTGTAGTTATATTTTTGGGGAGGCTACCTTGTTTATTTCGCATAACTCAACTCTGAGAAACTTTACATCATAATGGTAATGGCATTATCGTTTCCTTATGAGGAAATATTCGGCATTCATTGGACGAGCCGCTAGTACTGCTGCCAGTTGAAAATAGGTTTCTCAAGTCCACAAAGTGTTATTGCTCGTTCCAGTATTTCATCTTCCCCTTACAGTAAAAAGTGAAATCAATTTTTTGATTATATTGTATTCTCTTCGAGAATATGTATAGAGAATACATATTAGTTGTTGCTACAGTTGAAAGTCCTCAAGTGATGTGTTTTTTGGTATTTGGTAAATTTCTTTATGTCTTTCGATTCTGTAGTACCAGTCTACGAGGTTTCAAGAAGGATGGTTCTCACTAATACCTACATGTTTCCTTCGTTCAAAGCCATTTTTAATCCTTCATGTGAGAAAGCATTTGTACGCAGCTGACAGTTTGAGAATTACTGAATGATTTTGGCATCATGAATGACATCTATATGAAAGTCTCGGTCCGATGAGACTATTTAAGATGATGACTTGAGTTCTTAGATAAATGTCTTGGTTTTTGTATCGTCTTGAGCTGTTGAACAAAATTATCCCAAACTTCGTTCAATCTCCTTGTCCTCATTACTAACGTTTGGCCAATTATTTATTAATTTATCATTCTGGAACTCCATAACAAGGATAGAAGCCATGAAGGAGAGCAGAAATGGACAATAGTTCTCCAATGATGCTGAAGCGAAAATGGAGACAGTTAAGAAAGATGCTATGCAAGTCTTAATTCAAATACGGAGTATTAAGAAGGAAAATAGGTCTAGATTCGGAATTTTGAGACATAGTGGTAATTTGCGGATACTTCATGTGTTTCTATGTTTAAATGTAATTAAGGGACGTGTCTTATTTTCTGACTAATACCTGTATTATAATTAAGAATGATGGAGACTATATTGAGAACTTCGAGTGCAAATAAAAAAAATATCCACATCGGTATAATATATCTTTACGTTCGTCACATTGCCTTCTGCCAGTGATTATAGTTGGTAGTATTAAGATCATGTGATCAAAGTTTGAGCTTGATTGCGCAAGTTTTCTCGCTGCTTTTACAGTGTAAACATGGCGATCACGATAACAGTTTGCAGCAAGGAGGAACATAGCACTTGTAGCATGATTTAGAAGGGAGGTGCCTATGAGAAATATTGAGAACTAGATTTGGAATCCTAATTCTTTTGTATTCCTTTTTGGTATGCTTTGTGTGCTTCTATTATTAAAACTGTTGCAATTAAAGAAAGACTGACATTATTATTTGACTGATACCATGATTGTGAAGGAATCAGACTATGTTGAGTACTAGATTTCGAATCCTGAATCTTTTCTGTTCCTTTCGATAAGAAATAAATGCTTCTACTAGTAAAAGTCTTGTAATTAAAGGACAAATATTTTTCTTTGACTGGCACTTGTACCATGATTGAGAAAAGGGTAGAATATTAGAACTATTGAGAACTAGATGTGGAATGCTGAGTCATTTGTATTCAATTTGATTATGCTTTGATAGGCTTCCGATATTCATATCCAACTTACAGTTATTGAATAGAGGGAAAGATTTTAACGTAAAATGTTTTAACGTAAAAAAATGAATTAACAATTGTTTTAAACTGGAAAATGTTCGTTCACTTGTTTTTGTTGTTCTGTGTATGTGTGTGTTTGTGCATGTGCGTCAAATAATGGTAAGTTTACTGAAACCTTTGTAACATTAGGGTTTATTGTATATTTCTCATCAATTGTAATGTATAGTAAGCAACACATTCTTCCTATTCCGTATCTCGCCCCTTAATTGGCCATTTGACTGACTAAGCTTCGTGAATAACCACCATTGGCGCCATCTTGTCGATCATATATCACCATTGCCAAGTATTTATGCCTTACTTAATCAGCATTTTATCTTTGCCACAATCATTGCTAATTTCTTCAGCTCTTCTCCCGATTCGCCGATTACAATCACGTGATGGTCATCGTCATTTTCCTCGTCGCCTCCACCACAAAAGCTCTCAGCTTGAACGACACAAGCATCGGTCACTGATTGTTCAAGATCGATCAGGTCGAATCAAACGATCCGACTCCTAGTAAACGATGTGAGAACTCATCAACTTCTCATTAACAAGTGACAACATCGAGCTTGTGTCCTGCGTGGGAAAGCAGTGAATCGAATCAAAATGTCAGATAAGGTACCCCATCCAAACTCTATCTTTCTTTCTCTATTCCCACTCCTTCAATTACACTTCTTTCTTTTTGTTATCTCTCTCTCGTCCGTACTCTATCTTTCTCTCACTCTACCGCTATCTCTCTCTCTCTCTCTCTCTCTCTCACTTTTTCTCTCTTTCTTTCTTTCTTTTTTTCTTTCTTGTTGCGGTGCCTTTCTGTACTTCATGTATTTTTCCCTACTTATTCTTTATACATAATCCCAAACCATCTCCTGACTTGTGACAGTGGAGCAGAGTATTATTAAACGTTGGATTGAGGCGTTATTAATTGGATTTCCATACTGGGTAAAATGGAATAACGAAATATTATTTTTTGAGAACAATAAACATGCAATATCTTTATAGATGTTAAATCACAAAAGTAAGACAGTCATTGTTTGGCTAAACAAAATATCGTTCGAATTTCTTCGTCGGAATCGTCATCGACACCGCTGCCTTCTCTTGCTGTTCTGTCCCGTTTCAATCTCACTGTTTCTTCTTCATCTAATGCTCCTACTCTATTTTCTATTACTTTTTCATCGTTATCATCTTACGCCCCGTCATTTCCTCTTATCCCTTCTTCTTCTTCTTCTTCTTCTTCTTCTTCTTCAAATTATTCAAATTATTCAAATTATTCAAATTCTTCAAATTATTCAAATTCTTCTTCTTCAAATTCTTCTTCTTCAAATTCTCTTTGAAGTAATTACTTTCTGTCCGTTTATTATCTTCTAATAACATTATTCTTCGCTTCTACCCACCTTGTCCATGTCTTCTTTTATTTTCCATATGACGGTATTTCTGACTTTTCCTTGGTATTAAATATTCCAACTTTTTTAATTATGGAGCACTCTAATGATCATCTATTCACTTGCATTATTCCACTAAAGCATGAAATGAGCGGGTATTTCTCGGTTATTTGACTTAAACGAGTAATTTCAATAACACAGAGAGAAAGGGCGCATGCCGCCCACTTTCCTGCCTATTGGAAGTCATTACCTTTTGTTCCAGTTTTTAAGAACTCAGGTGAAACGTCCTACCCTTTCAGTTCTCAGCCTATTAGCTTTCTACTCCTTTTTGGGAAACTTCTAGAGGCTTTAATCAATGCCGAATTGGTTCATCATCGCTGGGCCTTTTTACAGACAAGCAATATGGCTTTTGTTTCTCAAGGTTAACTGCTAATGTACTGACGATAATTGCGGAAAGAGTCTATCATGCTCTAGATAAAAATGGTGAAGCTCTGAACACCTCGAAAGCTTTTGATGGAGATTGGTTTTTAAGCCTTCTCCATAAGCAGAATAGTTAAGGTGTCTCTGGACATATTTTTGAATGGATCCAGTCTTTCATATCACAATGTGAAATAAAATTTAACCTGAACGACCATTCTTCGAGATCTTTCGTACTAACGCTGGTCCCCCTCCACCAGGGTTCCATCCCTGATCCTACTTTCAATTTCATTAATGAACTTCTTGATGGCATCAGCTCTCAACTTGGTATCGATGCGGATGACATAAGCATTTACTCCTGTCAAGGACAAAATAGAAGCTGATGACCAAAACGACTCCAAGTCCGTGCTTAACTGGAGCAACAAATGGCTTGTTAATTTTAGCGCTTCTAAAACTTCTATCCAGACCACTCTCTGCCTTCTTTCAACATGGCTAATTCTAACCTCCAAAATGCACTTTCCTGGGCTAACGTTCTTAGCTGGCATGAAGTAGAAGAACTTGAATAGAATACATTGCTATGTCGGCTTCTAAGGAAGTTGTTTTACTGTATAGTGCGAGACAATTTTACTCCAGAATCTATCATACATATCTATAAGTCTACCATTCGTCCATGCTTAAAATATTTCTGCAACATATGGCCTGGTGCACATCCTGTTCTCTTTGAGCTTCTTCATAAAATCCAAATTATTGTTCCTGATCTATTGGCTCGTCTTCAGTCATTTTCTCCCCTCCGTCGATTTACTTCTGTGGGTATTTTCTATAGCTACTTTCATGGTAATTATTCGGATGAACTAGAATTTTTTAATTTAAGCGTAGTACTAGACTTGGGTCGGGATCTCATTAGTTTACAGTTGAGCTGGCTAGATGTAGAAGGAAGTTCTATGTTAACAGTTTCTTTTTTCCCACTTCTCGCGTGTAGAACACTATTCTGGTTTCATGCTTTCCAGCTAACTTTAATCTGTAAAAGTTTAAATGCGATATCATCCACTCTCTACAGTCTTTCTAGTTACTCCTTTCTCTCATTGAAGTCAACACTCGAAGGCGAGAGGCTGTTTCATGCTACAAGCAATCGTCAGGCAATCGGGTTTCAATGTTCACTTTTATATTTATATTTACATACACTCTATTTCTGATATTGAGCACTTTATTCCATAAATATAGCACACCTTGAAACTATATTACTTCATATATATATATATATATATATATATATATATATATATATATATATATATATATATATATATATAAAAAAGGACTCTGGTGAAATAAATTATTACAATGGTACCTTAAAGTGGTCTGTTTTTCTTTTAAATATTAGCTCTGGATTTACATTGAGTTCTCAGGATTTCATCCTCCTTGGGATTACCCATACGGATTCTTCATAACTTAAATATATATATATATATATATATATATATATATATATATATATATATATATGTAGAAATATACTCTTAAGTTGTGCTATATTTATGGGATAAAGTGCTCAATATCAGAATTAAATCGTGTGTAAATATAAAAGTGAACATTGAAGTCAACTCTTAGGGGCGATAGGCGGTTTCATGCTAGACACAATGGTCAGACCACAATTGCGTCTAGCATAAAACAGCCTGTCGCCTCTAAGTGTTGACTTCAATGTTCACGTTTATATATATATATATATATATATATATATATTATTGGCTTTGACGGCTTAAATTAAACATTACACCGTAAATTGAACAGGGCACATATAGAAACAAAGGTTAGTGCATTTGAACATGTTAAATCAAGCAAAACATTACGAAGACACTATATCAGAAATTAGAACATCGTATAAAAAGCAAGCTAGCGTAGATCAACGTAGAGTAAGAAATCGAAATAGCTTAAATATTTCTCTTGACTACACTAATAAAACATTGCAAACGAAAACACCATAATTAAGCATACATTTGAAAAGAAAGCAAAATCTGCATTTTCTCTTAGTTTTACCATTTTTTGTGCTAGCATATCGAAGTATATTTAGGTAGGATGAACTAGAAGATACTGAAGAAAGTTGCAAGTACATCATATATGCTTAGGTATATAAATGGGAATCATGTTTGCCGAACATGGTTGTTTCTCTGTAGTGTGCCACGTCGTTTGTGTTGTTATACTAGTCTCCACGATTGTTTTCAGGACAATAAACAAAAGTCGCCCCAGTATATGCATATGATCTGTATTGGCTACTTTTATGTTCCAGTAAGAGGATTTTGCCAACAGCTCCTCAGTGAGAGATAAGGGAGAGATAGATTTCCTAATCCTAACAGTTACAGATTCACGTGAGTATCTTGATTTCTTGCTAACCGCTGATTCGTCAATCCATGATCCAATGAAATGACACTGTCACATACTGTTTCTTTGTTTCATTCTTTTTCTCGGGCTTGTGACCATCAACTGACTCTATCAAATGAGACTAAAGGTTGACTCTGTCTTAGTCATGAATCTGCAATAGAGAAAGTCATTGAATATTGGATAACCCAAACCCCACACAATTTAGGAAGTACGTGTGTATGTATGTATATGTGTGTGTATATATGTGTATGTGTGTATGTGTATACTGGTTCCATGTAGCTTGGAAAGTATGTGTGTATGTGTGTGTGTGTGTGTGTGTGTGTATGTACTGATTCCTTGTGGTGGGATGGTGTGTATGTGCGTATGTGTGTGTATGTGTGTATATGTACAAATGAGTTTACTAATTCCTCGTAGTAAGACGATATATGTATGGAGGGGAATATAAGCACGCATATATACACGCATGCTGACAGAAACACACAAAAATGGAAACAGATCCAAGAACACATAGGGGTCAGTAAAACATTAAAAGATAAAATGCCGATAAGCAATTGATCATTTCGCTTGGACCAACCTTAATTGTTTTATGACCCTTCGCGAAGAACTCTTCATTGCCAATTCAAGAAAGAAATTCGGATTACTAACACAGAAAATGTCTCATATCGAGAATATTTAACATTGAAAAACAAAAGAAAAAATTAATTATTTTTAATAATATGTGGAAATCTCCACTTTTACCTGAAGACGGTCACGAGACCAGAAACACGTGTAGTACAATTATGTAAAACAAAGCATAATATTTTTTTCTAAATAAATCCACATTACAACCAAAAACGTTTGCGACACCTCTCTCTTTCTTTTTATTATATATATATATATATATATATATATATATATGTGTGTGTGTGTGTGTGTGTGTGTGTAGGTTTGTGTGTCTGTAGGTTTGTGTGTGTGTATGTAAGGATATTGCACTGGAAACATAAAAATCGCTACACAATTGCAGTTGTTATTTAATGCATATCAATGAATCAACGGCGATTGTAAATTACTAGTGAACTATTTATTTAGATATAAAAGCTAAACATGGCCACTTCTTTTGAAAAAAAAGGGTTTATAATGTTTGAGGGCTTTACACTGATCAACCAATCAAATGTGACCTATGTTAAATGTAAACTAAGTGAAGAAACAAAGATTTTCTATTATTTTTTATAATTGTGCCATGGCCCGTATATTGTCAGCTAACAGCAGCCAGACATAAGCCTAAATCGGATACATAAGTTAACATAAAATATACAAACCAGACAATGCAGTTTCGTAAGAAATAAAAGGTGGTTGTAGAGAGATAATTTCAAAATGCTAATCAAGTTATATGCTTTGTGATTTCCTACATAATATTTTGTAGTTGATAAATAAATGGCTTCTTTAAGAAACTAGTAAATAATTTAAATATATAGAATTATTTGGTAAATAAATATGCAACTCTTAAATAAAGATCCTTCATATAAGATGTTAAGAACACTAACCAATCAAAGTAAAATGTAAAAATTATCAACCAAATACCAATATATATATGTACAAGATACTACCAGGAAATTAATACCCATTATATTAAATCCACATTTATCTCACAAATAGAAAAGTTAAGCCATATGCATTGCAACGCAGTACAACTAAAATATAAGAAAAAGTATTATCAAATTCCAAAGTTTAACTAAATTGTATGGTTAAAGATAAAATATGCTTACGATTTACTTTTAATTCATTTCTTTGATTTTTATAATGAATGTTTGTCAAAAACTGATGATTTTGGGTTTTTCATGTAAACACAAAAACAGGGTTAATATAAATATTTACAGTCCCTTGCCATTTAAGAAATTTTCCATTTCACTTTCACTTAAAACTCCCAAAATATTTAGAAAGTGATGTATTATTTCTGTAAATAGTACTGGTGAAGGACAAGATATGTTGATACCACCTAGTTTTAAAATAATTCTTAGTACTACCAATACAGAATTTTTCAACTGTCCGATTTTCTGTTGTAGAGATAGTACTAAGATAAACAAGAGATTTACTTAAACAATTTTTTAGCATTGGACATTGGTCAGAATTCCTACAATTTCATTGGCCAATATCATTAATAATATTTATCTAGGAACGTGTATTATGATCCAGATTTAAAATTTTACGATTCTGCAAATTCTATAATCTTCTCAAGATTATTGGTGCAGCTATAACTTTTAATGTATCTCTGTTAAATATTTTACTATAAGTTTTACTTTTTGGAAAATTTGTTATCAATCAAATGGAGGAACTTATGGCCTAACTTAGTACTGACTAAATGATTTCTATTTCTTTTATTTGGACCACTATCAACATATTTTCCTAAACTTGATTTCAGCGTACTTATAACCACTATTCTTTAAAACTCTATTATAAATATCACTCTATTTATCCAACGCATCTTTGTCCGGTGAGTGATTGCTAATCCTAGGTTCTACAAACGAAGGTGTATATTTGATTACAGATGGAGGGTGGTTAGAATTGGAGTGAATGTAAATTGGGTTGGCATTTTTTTACATATAAAGTTGAAATACACCATTAAAGAGATCTAAAGTAACAGCAAGAAAATCTACTTGTTTAACATTACTAGTAATTTTAACCTAAAGACTGAAAATTTTTAGTCCTCTATTAATCATTTTTATTAATTTATCTATCTTAATTTTAGTGGATGTTTCTACTGCGATGAGATCATCATCTCTATATACGTCAATATTATCAACATTGATATCTTCATAGGAAGTAAGGTTATATAAAATGAATAAACCCATTAGGTCAGAAGACACGGCAGAATCTAATGATCCCATTGAAATATCAAAGTAATCATCAGAGTTCTTAACACTGTTCTTTATTGTGGATAAGAACTGGTCTTCTGCAGTTCATTCTTATATTTAACTCTTCACTAGAGATATTAGAATAATTTTCGTCAAATTCCAAAGCCAGGGTAAAGAGATCCTTGAAGATTAACCCGTAAAAATCCATAATATCAAACTGCAAGAGCAGTTGCTTTCGTTACTAATTTCTGTAAAACCAATTAATATCTTCTATTTTACCAATCCAGTGTATAAGGCTAAGGCGTTGTTTGATCTGTCATATATATATATATATATATATATATATATATATATATATATATATATATCATTGCGGAAATGTGCGTATTTATGCATGTTTGAATGCCAATTTACATAGAATATGCAAAAGTTAACCAAACGGCATAAATTAAATATGCAGTTAAATGTCATTACTGTAAAAACAGTATTAATCTTGCACAGAGGAAACTGGGATATGTCGATTTCCTGTACCCAAAATGTTCTTAATTCCCATTATATATATATATATATATATATATATATATATATATATATATATATATATATATATATATATATATATATATATATATATATATATATATATATATATATATATATATAGGGGCACAGTGCTATGGGTAAAGGAAAGTCGGATGAGTTCCACCACGGAATATGTAATCGAGCGGCGTGTTATCGAGTCTAATTTTCTACCTCTTCATCACCTAGGCCTGTTGGTACAGTTGGTATGACATTAACCTGGTAGTATAACTGTCCGGGTTTCAATTCTCAGTAGTGGACAAGCACTGCTGATGAGTCCCAAATGTATTTCGTTGAGGTTTCTTCTAGACTCGATGAATTACTTAATTATAATTGTTTCAAATCCTCCATATAATTTCTATCACTTGTATATATGCGGCATTTTACTTTATTTACCCATTTACTGGACTGTTTTACGCGATATTTCTAATCAGCATTATTTAAGGGAAGATATTTAATCTATTTGCTATCGAAACATATGAGAATATCAGGATAAATATCAAAATGTTTATAAATAAAACAAAACCTATTAGGAGAATGTTATGCAAGCAAAAAGTATGAATAAAACATCAGAACTAAATATTATCTATGCATACGTACAAATGATATAGAATCTGATTAATGTAATAAACAAAACAGGAAAAGTACATTAGATCTCTGGAACGCTCTTAATAAACAGCCACCCATTTTGAAAATTCAGTGAGCGTGAAATAAAGCTGGGAATAGATAAGTAAAACAGTGTGCGTCTAAAATTCTTTTTGCAACAATATTGTAAGAGAGTACTTGTATATATTTATGTTATAATTTTTAAATAAATAATTATATATATATATATATATATATATATATATGTGTGTGTGTGTATGTGTGTATGTGTGTATGTGTGTGTGTGTGTGTTCGTAAGTATGTTTTTCTCCCAAATCAACAAAGTTTAGTGATTTATCGATATAAATGCTGGTGTGAAACTGACTATGTAATCAAGAATATCCAGCGGTTAGAGGAAAGAATTAAATAGTGATATTGGAGGGCCAATTATTCAGAAGAGGGCCCAGACGAAACATCTAAATGTTATGGAGGCTGCTGTTATCAACTCAACTCTGCTTGATTCTTAATTTTTTCCCGCCCCTTAATTCCTGTTTTAAATTTTTTTGCCTTTAGCCTAATTTTATTTCCGACAATTTTTCTTCCGACGAAGGCTCGGACGAAAGGCATTTTAAGTTTTTCTTTTCTTATCGTAGTCGTAGTTTTATATTTGATTTTATCATTAAAAGAGAGATAACCAATATAAGAAATATATTTCGGAATGCCTGAAAAATGCACCCCTTAAATGTTAATGTTGTTCCAATATTGGTAACGCTCTTTTTACAACACATATCTACACGCACCCTCGATTTTATTGTGCAATATATACGACATGCCGCATAAAGTTCGTCTGTCTCCGTCTCTGTCTCTGTCTCTAGCTCTCTCTCTCTCTCTCTCTCTCTCTCTACATATATATATATATATATATATATATATATATATATATATATATAGTAAACCTGGATATAAAAGAGTTGTCAGGACCGGAGAATGAGTCTCTTATATCCGGGTTTCTCTTATATCCGGGTTTGGTCTACTTTATATACATTAACACAGGCTCTAATTTGGGACCAGAGAAAATCTCTCTTATATCCGGGTTTCTCTTATATCCGGGTTACACTGTATATGAGGATAAAGACAAAAGGATAATTTTTCTTTACCGACGCGTTTCTTCTTACGATGGATTTTATCATGACAAAATTTGACGATAAAACGCGTTGGTAAAGAAAAGTTTTCCGACAGGAATCGAACATTTATCCTATACGGAACGTCTTTTAGCCTGACGTACCTTAACCGATTCGGCCACAGAAGAGCGTTCGGTTAGCAAGGTCGATTTTACTGTCTTTAAACTACAATCTTCCATGATTCTCACACGTACATTCACATCTGCTCATGGCGTATCCAAATGTAAACAAATGACGTCACACCTTATGAAATGGACAAATTTCGACAATCATTTTAAGACATTTTTTATTTTTATTCGGAGGACGAATATTTTCTATGAAAATTTCTCGAACATTCAGGCCGGTAAATGTTGTTTAATACTGTTTATTATAAACAGAGCATTTACTTAAATATTGGTATCTATAAAAAGAATGTATAAACATAAAAAAATATCTTAAAATAATTGTCAGACTTTGTCCATTTCATAATATATATATATATATATATATATATATATATATATATATATATAAAGTCCATTTCATCTATTTCATAACCTTATGTCCACTATGTCCCCGTTCGATTTCCTCCATTTTCCGCAATCTGTGGTCATTTTCCCTATCCTACTTTAGTTCACACTCTTCTTTTTCTTACAAATCATTTTCAAATACCTGGACATCTCTTTCCTGTCCTTTATTTCTCATATAATTCTTCTTCATTTATGCTGTCCTCAGATTCTCTCGTCTTTTCTTCTTCTTCCTGTTTTTTTTTCGTCTCTCACCACCACCACCACCACTACCACCACGATCAATCATTTATTGACGATATAAGCACTCCCCTCCCAAGCCCGACCTCTGTCGTGGCTGCACTTCAAGCAACCCAACCTATTCCACTCGACGTCACAGATTCATCATATGATTACTGCTTCGGCAAAAAGAGCGCGACCGATACGATCGCTATCAGCAGACTCGTTAACCGTTCGCAGACCCGTCGGGTTAAATCTTTCGACTTATCAGACGGAAGTTGCCCTACTGGACCGGCGAGCTGTTGTTTAATGGGGCGAGGTTGAGACCTTATCGGCTAAAAGGCGTTTTGTTTCACAGCCTGCTGCATTACCACCCTGGGGACCTACTGCAATATCTCATATTCAAGGAATAATCATATTTGTACGGAAAACGAACACCAAGCCTCAAAGCCGATGAACTAATATGGACATTATATAGATTTCTTTTCCCGTTGATTTAGAATATGTGAAAAAGAAAAGTACAAAAAAGCGACTAATGTATAGGTTATGAAGGTAATCAACATTTAAGCCCAATAATACACACACACACACACACACACACACACACACATATATATATATATATATATATATATATATATATATATATATATATATAAAAAGCATTTGTACAAATGTAAAATTTGTCACTCAGCTGATTGATGTTAAATTCAGCACATCTACTCTGTGGTTTTGTAGACAAACTTTTGTGTAATTGTTCAGTCCACTCGTCAGGAGATATTGTGTATTGGGGCAACAATCCATCTTTAATACATGTTTCTATAATCAAAATTCACAAGGTACTTTTATTTATTTTTACTGTATATTACTTATATGCGTACATGTATATTATTTTCTGGATTTAATGAATGTAAACATTCTACAAAGTTTGATTGATTCCTAACGCTTCCGGTTAAAATATTAGTTATTCGCAAGGATTTTTGTTATAATACTATTATAAATCGCGTCTAAGTGCTATTGTAAACACTAGAAAGGAAGTTGCTGAAAGAAGACATATTTTAATTTCACAATATGGCCAGCATATTGTGGTCGTGTTCATAACTGATGCTATCAAGTATTTTTTTCATGTTGTAAAAAGGATTTAAAAGTGAATGAAGCCCTAATTATAAAAATGAAAACCAACATTTAATTAGATCAATTAAAAACACGACCACAATTTACGGGTTGTAGCCGGAAATTGTTACATTATTAAGCCCAGAAAAGGAGACACTTATTCACATACAAAGAAAACATAATAAAAAAATAAACAAAACGTTAAAAAAATTATTTATAAATATTGGTCTTCGCACTCGATAAAAATTTGTCCAATTTCAGTCGATTAAATGGAAAAAAAAAAAGCGTTTTCTAAGTTTTTCCCTCATTGTCAATGATTTGGTGCTCGAAGTTTTGGCAACAATCTGAAGTACTTGAGATGAACATTTTACTAAAAGTAATAAAAGTTTGCTAAATAATAATCGTCTTTGGGTAAATGAAATGTTGTTGATAATAGCAATAGAAAATGTGACAAAAAAGTCGTTCAGAAATATCTAAAGTTTCAGCACTATACAAGCACTTCCTTAAAATGATATTTAAATGTAAAGAAGGAAACCTTCAGGTCAGAAGACTTTGACTAACATTGCACAAAGAACTTCACGAAATTGACGAAACTGCATCACTTGAAGACGTTAATCAGCGAGAACAACTAAAATAGATAGAAAATGTAACTAGAAGAGAAAAACAATGAAATAATGAAGAGATGCTGTCGCTCTACACAACTTCAAATAAAAGGTTAGGAAGGAAACACCCTCCCATCAGTACTGGAAAGAGCAATAACACTTACTGAGCTTGAGGAACCTATTTTGCTGGAAAATTGTTTGGAGAGAAAGATATTATAAATTTTAAACGTAGGTAGGACTGGCTGCTCGGTCAATAAATATCGAATGTTTCCTTATAAAGAAACGGATAATAGTACCATTACCATAAAAAATAGAATCAAATCCCGTCGGACAAAAAGGACAAAGACAAAATCCTAGACAAGGCTAAATCATGACGCTTGAGACAAGACTAATGAGAGAACTACCGCAGAGTTGGTGGACATTGGAATAAGGAATTCAAGTCGCGATTTTCTCATGCAGAATGAAGATAAAGTTCTTCGTCAGTTGATGCAAGAAATGTGAGAAGAAAAGAAAACAAAAAATGGGGAGCTTTTCATTTTTTTTTTTTTTTATCATTTTCTTTCTTTTTTTTTTGTTATTCGTTCTTTGTCTCTCACTTCGTCCTTTTTCATTCTATTTTACTTTCAGACGGGCTTAGGGTGCCACCCAAAGTTGTAATTAGAATTCAGGTTTTGCGGAAGAATACGACGAAGATGCGAATCAGTCGGTCTGGTGGAGTTGTAACTGTCCACCTTATCGACAAAGAAAAGTAGGAAGACTGTCAAATATTGATAGATGAACAAGATGATGAAGTGTTGAAATGGATTGTCTATCGTGTGTGTGATGCGTGTATGTACTTGCAATAACTAATGTTCACATTTACAAGAATCATTTTCTATATAAGTAGAGTGCATGTCTCTCTGTATATCTTTCTCATTCTCTCTCTCTCTCTGCACACACACACACAGACACACACATGTGTGTGTATGCGGCGTGCAAAAGATCGATGCTTCGAAAATAATGCACACCACTTATTACTAGGGGAACTATACTAGCTGCAAATGAATAATGCTGAACACAACAGGTTTTCAACTAGAACAAACTATTTTTCAACATAGTCCCTATCATTTTCTATGCATTTTCGCTAGCGATGAACAAAAGAATTCGTGCTTGAATCAAATTTGCACCAGCGAGAGGAAGCTGACATTTGTGCATCAGTGTTGATAATGTCGTTTTAAATTAGGACTTCCACTAAATTTTTGATACCTAAGGTTTAAAATGAATTTTTAAAATTAAAAAAAAACATTTTGAAGCTTTCTTTTTAACTTTAATTGAAAGCTAAATGATTAAATTTGCTATTCCTAGTAAGCAAAATACTCTGGTGTATTTCAACTAGAAATTATATTGATTGAAATCTTTTTGGTCGGTTTCAGAAAATCGATCGGCCATTTTGACAGTTTCTAAATTAAAGATAATTCTCAGTTTTAAAAATCTTCCGAACATAAAATATATATTTGTGACACATTATTAGCAAATGTAGAATACAATCATTTCTTAACCGCGGGGTATTGTTTTTCTGACGATTGATTAAAAAATCGATTTTCTTAAAACGGTAGTGTCCTTAATAATTCTTCTTCTTTTTTTTATCTTAAAACGGTAGTGTTCTTAATAAATCTTCTTTTTTTATCTTAAAACGGTAGTGTTCTTAATAAATCTTTTTTTTATCTTAAAACGGTAGTGACCTTAATAAATCTTCTTTTTTTATCTTCAAACGGTACTGACCTTAATAAATCTTCTTTTTTTATCTTAAAACGGTAGTGTTCTAAATAAATCTTCTTTTTTTATCTTAAAACGGTAGTGACCTGAATAAATCTTCTTTTTTATCTTAAAACGGTACTGACCTTAATAAATTATCTTTTTTTATCTTAAAACGGTAAAATAAATCTTTTTTTTTTATCTTAAAACGGTAGTGTTCTTAATAAATCTTTTTTTATCTTAAAACGGTAGTGTTCTTAATAAATCTTTTTTTTTTATCTTAAAACGGTAGTGACCTTAATAAATCTTCTTTTTTATCTTAAAACGGTAGTGTTCTTAATAAATCTTCTTTTTTTTATCTTAAAACGGTAGTGTTCTTAATAAATCTTCTTTTTTTATCTTAAAACGGTAGTGACCTTAATAAATCTTCTTTTTTATCTTAAAACGGTACTGACCTTAATAAATCTTCTTTTTTTATCTTAAAACGGTAGTGTTCTTAATAAATCTTCTTTTTTTATCTTAAAACGGTAGTGTTCTTAATAAATCTTTTTTTATCTTAAAACGGTAGTAATAAATTATCTTTTTTTATCTTAAAACGGTAGTGTTCTTAATAAATCTTCTTTTTTTTATCTTAAAACGGTAGTGTTCCTTAAATAAAAGCTTGTTTTTAATAAATCTTTTTTTTATCTTAAAACGGTAGTGACCTTAATAAATCTTCTTTTTTATCTTAAAACGGTAGTGTTCTTAATAAATCTTCTTTTTTATCTTAAAACGGTAGTGTTCTTAATAAATCTTCTTTTTTTTCTCTTAAAACGGTACTGACCTTAATAAATTATCTTTTTTTATCTTAAAACGGTAGTGTTCTTAATAAATCTTCTTTTTTTATCTTAAAACGGTAAAATAAATCTTCTTTTTATCTTAAAACGGTAGTGTTCTTAATAAATCTTTTTTTTTTATCTTAAAACGGTAGTGTTTTAATAAATCTTCTTTTTTATCTTAAAGCGGTAGTGTTCTTAATAAATCTTCTTTTTTTATCTTAAAACGGTAGTGTTCTTAATAAATCTTTTTTTTATCTTAAAACGGTAGTGTTCTTAATAAATCTTCTTTTTTTATCTTAAAACGGTAGTGTTCTTAATAAATCTTTTTTTTATCTTAAAACGGTAGTACTTAATAAATCTTCTTTTTTTTTTTTATCTTAAAACGGTAAATAAATTTCTTTTTTTTCTTAAAACGGTAGTGTTCTTAATAAATCTTCTTTTTTTTATCTTAAAACGGTCTTAAAAATCGGTAGTGTTCTTAATAAATCTTCTTTTTTTATCTTAAAACGGTAGTGTTCTTAATAAATCTTCTTTTTTTTATCTTAAAACTTAAAACCTTAATAAATCTTCTTTTTATCTTAAAACGGTAGTTCTTAATAAATCTTCTTTTTTTATCTTAAAGCGGTAGTGTTCTTAATAAATCTTCTTTTTTTATCTTAAAACGGTAGTGTTCTTAATAAATCTTCTTTTCTTATCTTAAAGCGGTAGTGTTCTTAATAAATCTTCTTTTTTTATCTTAAAACGGTAGTGACCTTAATAAATCTTCTTTTTTATCTTAAAACGGTACTGACCTTAATAAATCTTATTTATAAAAGTAATTAAAAATTTCGTAAAATTAAGTAAGTGATGGTGGGGGGTGGGTCTAACATATGTAAAAGATTAGCTTTTTTAAAATAAAAAATAACTTAATTCATTTGTGAATAAGTCCTGAAAGTTACATTAAAATCCGACAATTATTTGATTCTTGCAAGAATTTCAAATCAATGTCCTTTTCATCAGAAAAAAAGCGCAAAAACACAAATGTTAAAAATGACATCTCTCGCTGACGTAAA